ACTGACCGCCATGAAATATCCAATATTGCGGAACGTGGCGTCTAACACCAATCATTCAATCAATCATACGTATTTGATTAAAAGGAGATATGGGAATATACCACCATACTACAACAGTAATTCAATGACACTCTTTACATGGTCATCAACAAATACAGTTCAAAAAACTAGTCAAGCCTTTCAAAATCACCATTCAAAACATAAAGGGGTGGGTGGTCTTCGGGTTCCGGCAATTTACAGTTACAGGGATATGATGATGTTAGTGTTAGTGTTTAACGAAGTTGAAGAGAGAACTCTGTTGGAATACAAACGTAAGAATGTAACTTTTGCATATAAAACACACACATGTAAGACCAATCAATACTATTTGATCCACAATCCTTATGTGGGATCGTATACACTATTCTTACTTGTGAGGTCAAATGTCCATAAGAAACACTTCAGACCTACAGTCGAGCAATTAGTACATTTCATTCATTACAATTTCCTTCATTTGTTAACCTCCGAACAAGAACATTTCAAACCTACTTAAATAAGAATTTGAAAAGTTATTTATCTTTTTACTAGAAAATATAGGTAGAAAATCGTAGATTAAAACAGGTAACTAATTTCCGTAGTCGTCGAAACAAGTACAAAACCATGTCAAACATCGCCCATCAATTTCCCGGTCATAAAGTGATTGCAAAAACGTGTTAGTACGATTTGATCCTACATGATATTATATTTGTAAAAAAAAAGTCTTTTCTTTTTCTTCCGGGAGACTTTACATTTAGGAGAATTCTTTGTTAAGGTAAGAAATTCAATTTGAATAGAATGATACCTTTATTATATATCTGGTTACTTTTAATCTACAGAATAAAATGATATAATAACACGTGTTTTTATGCATATTTTGTTTAAATGAAAAAGTTATAATGAAATAATATGTTAATGGTTATGATTAAATGGAATTTTAAACAAAAAAACAAAACAAAAACAAAAAAAACAAAAAAAATGTATTAATTGCTCTTTACTACTGAAATTGGTCTGAAAGGGAGATATTTCCTAAGATTTTTATCATCACGAACTCATACTGAACGCCTTGCCAAAGTTTATGATTTTTATAATTTTATATTAGTCATCACAAGTTGCCTACTATTTGTACAATTTATGGTACAAGTGTCCGCTGAAAACCAGGACACACAATAAGCTATGTCATATTAAACCTACAAAATGTACTTTAAACTGTTTGCTAAGCTGGTCAAAAAGTAAACGTCATATAGACAGTGAGACCGGGCTTGGCTTACCCGATATATTGTTTATACCAAAAAATCCATTTAATGTAAAAAATAAGAAGATGTGGTATGATTGCTAATGATAAATCTCTCCACTAGATACCAAATGAAGTAGACGTTAGCAACAATAGGTCATCGTACGGCCTTCAACAATGAGCAAAGCCTATACCGCATAGTCAGCTATAAAAGGCCCCGAAATGACAAATGTAAAACAATTCAAACGAGATAACTAACGGCCTGATTTATGCACAAAACAATAAACGAAAAACATATATGATATATATACAGCAACAAACGACAACCACTGAATTACAGGTTCCTGCAATGAATTCGGACAGGCACATACAGAATGTGGCGGGGTTAAACATGTTTGCGGGTATCTATTTAAAAAGTCTTGTCCGGATTTGTATAACGTATGAGGTTCTGGATGGGTTTTATAGAGTAGAGAATAATAGGCAAAATGTGCATAATCATGAAATGGCAAAATAAATAAAGAATAGAGTAAAATAGGGCAAACAAATAAAAAATAGAGAATAATGGGGTGCTAAAATATAAAGAATAGAGAATAATGGGCAAAAAATATAAAGAAATCAAAAAAAATGACCTAAAAAAATTAAAGAATAATGAAATGAAGGACCCCATCCAGACCCTCGCGTATGTTTTCTGTTTAGTTGACTTTTTATGTTCTTTGTCTTATTCAACTTTTGTATTTGATTCATTTAAACTAGTGTATCCTGTGTTTCATTTTATTCATCTTACTTTACACAGCTGCTGTACCCGCCTATCTGTAAACTATACACAATCGAAATAGCACACGTTAATAAGTATGTCAAATGTATAACATTTTTTAATAAGATGCTTTTATTAACCGTAAACGGATCGTTATATAACGTGTTCTTTTTTTGCTTTCAGAGTAAAATGTATATGAACGTAGTCATTCTTTGTGGCGTATTTCAAGCTTATGCTATTACAGCACAACTAACAGGTAAAGTTTTTACTTAAACATGTTAAATGTCTTGTTTTAGAGGGCAACTTAATTTTTGTTTGTCTTTGAATGTTCATGTTTGTGACTTACGTAAGTACAGTTTGGATTGTCGTTTTTGTTTTATTTTTTCACAATTTTGTCGTTTTCGGCGTATTTTGTTATGAATATCATTGAAGGCTAGCCTCATAAATATTAACGCCGGCTAGCTTCACACAAGTATTTCATTACCAGCTTCCAAACATCCTATCGTCATATAAAAGTTCAATTCTTATTTGATATGAATAAAAGGAATTGTGGAATTAACGCTGAGGATTAACGTCAAACTCGGTATCTTGTAATTTTGTATTGTACTCCATTATTTTTTTTCTTTTAAATTTACAAAGCAGCCAGCCAGTTACCAAAAAAAAGTGACCTCATGTATTAACAAATGCCAACAAAAGCGGATTAAAAATAGAAAGCTATTTCAGAAACAAGACATACATTTACCACATAGACAAAAAACAATGTACAAATCTATGACATAAAATCATTACATGATTTAAACATGTATCTTAATAAATTTTCAACAATTTTTATTGTTTCTGTCTGAGAAATGCAAATGTCAGCAAATTTGTCTAGTTGAATAAAATTAACGTTATACATATATATATATATATTATATGTCTCTGTGGTATATGTTAGTCTAGCGTGTTTTTCTTAAATTTTGGTTCATTTGTATGCATGTTTTCGAGTTCAGTGTGGCGTCCACTTCGATGAACTACTATACATTATTGTTTAGAGGCAAGCTGACGTCCGCCTCCAGGTGGAGGATTGTATCGCTGCGTTGAGGACCCATTGGTGGCCCGGGCTGTTTTCTGTTCTTTGGTGGGGTTGTTGTCTCTTTAACACATTCCCCGTTTCCATTCTCTATTCTACTATATTGATTTTAATCAGATGTAAGGTGACATGTCTTCCTCAACTGTGAAACTGTTGGTTTATCTCAACGGGATACGATGGACTTTAGAGCTCCCATTGAGTTTTCTATAAATTGATACAAAGACAAATTTTAATATTTAATATAAAAATAAAAGAAATGGAATGACTGCCATATTTTCACCAGAGACCAAAGGACAAGATTTAAGAGGATGTGGATGGAGGTCCTTCATTTCTGTATTCTTCATTTTTTAAAGCCATTTTTCTCGATTTTTTACTGTTTACTTTTTTTTTTGCCTATTTTTCTTTATTCGTTATTTTTTAGCCCTTTATTCTGCACATTTTGCCCATTATTCTCTATTTTGTAAACCCCATCCAGACCCCCTTGTAAGTCTAACTTAATAACTTTCATAACTTAAATATATACACGAAGTTTTATGTATTAAGGTATATGGCCAAATCGAAATGAGCATATAAGTTTACAACTACTGATATAATTTTACAAAATTTTATAAACAATGTTGTAGTAATTAAAGAAATGATGAGTTGTGTTTGGCAATAAGAGTGAAAAGGTGCGTTCGACCCCGATCTCAATTGAATAGATAGGCTGTTTTCCTGCCAAAGATTGGTGGTTAACTCCTCCACTTTTAAAAACAGACTGGCCCGATATTGCCATGAGTGCTGAAAGTTACGTTAAACACCCATAATCAATCGATCAATCAATCAATTTTGTAAAGGTATCAATAACTTTAATTATTATAAAAAAAATGTACAATCAAATAAATGATGGTATTCATCACCTAAAAACTCTTTCGTCACGTTTTCTACCCAAAAGCGATCCCTTTCAATAAGGAGCCGATGATAAAGACATCTAAAATTACATAGTGCTTTTATTAAATAATTTGGTAAATTTAGTAAATACTTTGTAAGCCATGATTTCATTTAAAAAATGACCTTCGTTGTCTAAACTGTTTCGATTGTTTCAGAGATGAAGATCTTTGAAATATATATATATACAAATGATAGGTAAAAATGGTAATTGAAGGTTAGTTATACTTATTTGATGGAAATGGACGGTAATTACGTTCTGACAACGTGTCTGAGTGTTCAAATAAAATTTTAAAAACAATCTGAATATTTTGCTTCTTTTCGATTTCTATCGTGTTCCAAATTTGAATTTTTCTAGGGGAAAGATTTTTAATGCTGGAATCAAATTATCTGAATACAAATTTTTAAGGATGTTCGCTACTCAGTTTCAAAATAACAAGCTTTTCATAACACTGATAAATATTGATAGGGAATTAATAAAGAAACCAAAAGAGCGAAACACAATTATAGGTCCGTGTGCTTGTTTTTTTAGATATAAGCTATTGAAAATATGGCGGGGAAAATACTCTCTCTTGACTTTTCATAGCTTTAAAAATTACAAGTTTTATTTCTCAAAACATATTAGAAAATAACAAGCATTTTAAAAGATTTTACAGATAGCTTCTTATCTTGCATGTTAAAGATTTATGAAAAGAAAAATGAGTGTTAGCAGGGAAAATATTTTATGCCATTCAAATAGATATACATAAATATGGATAAAACTAGAGGATTCCGAAAATCTGACAAAAATTCAAAACATGACTAGCGAACATCCTTAAATCGGGACGATTTGGCAAATTCGGCGCACTTCGAAATATTTAACAATTAAGGGTACCAGAATCTGCCGTGGTTTGCCCAATTGCTATTTGGAATGTCATTCGTCATTGACTCTTTTATTTTACTTGCAGATAGGAAATCAAGAGGAAAAGAAAATAGAATGTCAAACCTCATACCAAAACCACGATTCAGACATGAGTTATTTCAAATTATTAATAAAGATATTTCGTTACCCCCTAATATCATGCCGAACGCTTTTGCTAACAACAGAAGATCTCCTATCTTAAGGAATAGAGATTTGCGGAAAGTACCATTTTCAAATCAAAATCGCTTTGAAAAACTAAGAGGATTCAATACAAACGTACAACAGAGACAAAAGAAAAAAAGAAACCGAAAAAAGAATTTGACAAAAGTTGTAAAGTCGAGAGAAACAGAGAAAAGAAATCTTTCGAAGAGGAGGAAAGTAGTAGAAGGGCCGATTCCGATTTTACGTAAGGATGTCACTCTACAACAACAACGCGTACTTCCACTATCTTTCAGGACACTCGGAATTTTACCAACCAGTGTTAGTATAGAGAATCCGGTACCGGAAAGCCGAATTAGGCTCGATCGCACACTGGAAAGTAATGTTCTTACTCAAAAAGTGTTACCACAACAAAATAACAACATTGGACCTTCATTCCCGACGCAGTCTAATAATGCGAGAATGAATATACCGGGAGAGTCTAGATTTATGAACACACCACCTATGCAGCAGTCCCAAAATCAGGACAGAAGAGGACAACATGCGAACGTACGAAACGCAAATTTTCAAGGAACTACGGATAATCTTTTCGAACCAGAATGGCCCCTACCAGTAAATCGTCCAGAAGGACTCCAGTCCGGCTTTTTAGAACCGGACCAAAATGTCTTTCCCACACAACTAACGGTAAGGCGACAATCTTTTGGTTCATTTCCATCACCAAGACGACCACAGTTAAGTCCTCTGAACTTCTTTGGATCAACTCTTAGACGATTGCCTCCAATTATGCCAACTGTACCACTTTCGTTGAATTACTTACCATACTTACATTATGCGGATAATTTACGTTTAGCGGAAAATTTTGATATTGATACAGACAATTTTTTATTACCTAATTCATTTCCTCAACGACCACACTTCTCTCAATTTTCCCAATTTATGCGAACAAGATTCGGAACTGTACCTATTTCTCCTTTTAGCAGAGGAGTAATCATACCGTTTCCAAGGAGACGAAACAGCCTTCCGTTTCGATCTAGATCACGATCATTTCCAACATCAACTCCTTTTCAATCACGATTTCGTGATATTATAACAACGCCACCTAGCATTCAGTCAAGTTCGCTTGTTCCACCACCGAGCACTTTTTTCTTTAGAGATGAAGATACGAGTCCTTTCTATCAACAACCATTCTATAATCCTTACTATTTGGACACATTTGGTACATTTTTATCGGATTTTAATGAACCTCCAAGAAATATTACTAGATCAGAAAATCCACAGATTGTGAGACCTTTCCGAAAAGAAAAGGCTGAACGAATTAAGATGTCAAGGTCACTTGGAATACACAATTTAATTGAAAAAGAAAAATTGCTTAAAATGAATTCCTTTCAAGAACGACAAAAAAGTTCTAAAGATAGAAAATTAAAGGTGAAAGCGATGTCTTACAGGAAAATTATACGTGAGTATCATTCTGTAATATGGAAATAAGATTCCACATCGGTCATTTAATTCCGAGATCTACTTCGGAGCTAGCACTCCGGGTTATATCAATTCTTCTAACTCTTCCATTTTCTGTACTCAGTTTTTTGTTTTTTTTTCAATGATTGTTAGTGTGTTTGGAGGTCAGAATACGCTTTTGAACAATGGACGTGCCTATACAATATGACAAACTCTAAATCGCCACGCCTACAGGAGCAATAAAAAAAATACAAGCAGAAGATCTCACCGTGGTAAAAAAAGCAACGTCGAACTGATAAAAACACGCCATAAAACACAATACAGAAAACTAACGATTGTGCAACACGAACCCCACAAAAACGTTCGGACGGACACGGTTACTAAAAAAAGAAAACAAGTTCCTGCACCAATTGTGTCAAAATAGTTGTGAAAGAGAGGTGAAGAAACCAACGGAATTTTCAAACTCATAAGACGAAGCCAAACTGAAAACGCCATGGAAAAAAAAAGAAAAACGACAAAAAGACAAACAGCAGTCTGCAAAACACAACATAGAAAACTTAAGACTAATCACCATTTAGGATTTCGTCTTTGTAAAAGTAAAAGTGATTAACGAAAAGAATCAAATAAAAATATTCAATGATCTGTACCCTGTCTATATCCAGGATTGATTATTTCTCTCCTAAACACAATTTTGATAATTAATTAGGTGTTTTTCGTTTCAGCTTTTTAAAATCTGCGCTAAGGATGAACCTTATTTATGTTCAAGTGTATTCATGGAAACTTATACCAGATGTGTACCTGTCAATGTTTTCAGGTGGATTGGATACTACATGTAACGCTGTGTATATATATATTGAGTTTTTTTTTTATTACAGATTCGTAAATATGAGCTGCTGTCATTTTTCTAAAATAAATTTTCGAAATAATATCTATGAATTACTATGAGACTGAAAAAATATGGGCCTGAATATGATAAACATAAAAAGGAGAGACGGCTCCAATGAAGTAACAAAAATCCGAAGAAACACAGGAAACAAGATGCACAGACTAAACAGTTACCTGTGTAAACAACAGTCATTAAAATTCTTCCCGGAAAATTAAAGATTGAGCCACATGAATCGCTAAAAAATCGGGGCAAAATTCAGGTTCTTTGTCACATCCATTTTTGTACTCTTGTTAAAATCCTTCAATTAAACATCCGTTGGTCAGACATAACATTACAGCGAATTCGCCGTTTCAGAATCTAATGCATTCTAGGTAATATTTTCAAAGTGTACACCAACACGTCGTGATTGGTAATAAACGTCCTAAACAATGGAAATTCAGCGAATCAAGTGATGTAAGTTTTATTTTGGGGTACGAAAAATAAAATTACCCATAGTCCTTTAGACTCTGAAAGGGCCAATTAATAAAGTCCCTTTTGTCTCAACCAACGAGACAGTAGCACATAATAAACCATCGGTACAAGGACATTTAGATTCTGAAACGGCCAATTAATAAAGTCCCTTTTGTCTCAACCAACGAGACAGTAGCACATAATAAACCATCGGTACAATTAATAAAGTCCCTTTTGTCTCAACCAACGAGACAGTAACACATAATAAACCATCGGTACAAGGACATTTAGATTCTGAAACGGCCAATTAATAAAGTCCCTGTTGTCTCAACCAACGAGACAGTAGCACATAATAAACCATCGGTACAAGGAAATAAGTCCCTTTTGTCTCAACCAACGGGACAGTAGCACATAATAAACCATCGGTACAAAGAAATAAGTCCCTTTTGTTTCAATCAACGAGACAGTAGCACATAATAAACCATCGGTACAATTAATAAAGTCCCTTTTGTCTCAACCAACGAGACAGTAGCACATGATAAACCATCGGTACAATTAATAAAGTCCCTGTTGTCTCAACCAACGAGACAGTAGCACATAATAAACCATCGGTACAATTAATAAAGTCCCTTTTGTCTCAACCAACGAGACAGTAGCACATGATAAACCATCGGTACAATTAATAAAGTCCCTGTTGTCTCAACCAACGAGACAGTAGCACATAATAAACCATCGGTACAAGGACATTTAGATTCTGAAAGGGCCAATTAATAAAGTCCCTGTTGTCTCAACCAACGAGACAGTAGCACATAATAAACCATCGGTACAAGGACATTTAGATTCTGAAACGGCCAATTAATAAAGTCCCTGTTGTCTGAACCAACGAGACAGTAGCACATAATAAACCATCGGTACAAGGACATTTAGATTCTGAAAGGGCCAATTAATAAAGTCCCTGTTGTCTAAACCAACGAGACAGTAGCACATAATAAACCATCGGTACAAGGACATTTAGATTCTGAAAGGGCCAATTAATAAAGTCCCTGTTGTCTCAACCAACGAGACAGTAGCACATAATAAACCATCGGTACAAGTACATTTAGATTCTGACGGCCAATTAATAAAGTCCCTGTTGTCTTAACCAACGAGACAGTAGCACATAATAAACCATCGGTACAAGGACATTTAGATTCTGAAACGGCCAATTAATAAAGTCCCTGTTGTCTCAACCAACGAGACAGTAGCACATAATAAACCACCGGTACAAGGACATTTAGATTCTGAAACGGCCAATTAATAAAGTCCCTGTTGTCTCAACCAACGAGACAGTAGCACATAATAAACCATCGGTACAAGGACATTTAGATTCTGAAACGGCCAATTAATAAAGTCCCTGTTGTCTCAACCAACGAGATAGTAGCACATAATAAACCATCGGTACAAGGACATTTAGATTCTGAAACGGCCAATTAATAAAGTCCCTGTTGTCTCAACCAACGAGACAGTAGCACATAATAAACCATCGGTACAAGGACATTTAGATTCTGAAACGGCCAATTAATAAAGTCCCTTTTGTCTCAACCAACGAGACAGTAGCACATAATAAACCATCGGTACAAAGACATTTAGATTCTGACGGCCAATTAATAAAGTCCCTGTTGTCTCAACCAACGAGACAGTAGCACATAATAAACCATCGGTACAAGGACATTTAGATTCTGAAACGGCCAATTAATAAAGTCCCTGTTGTCTCAACCAACGAGACAGTAGCACATAATAAACCATCGGTACAAGGACATTTAGATTCTGAAACGGCCAATTAATAAAGTCCCTGTTGTCTCAACCAACGAGACAGTAGCACATAATAAACCATCGGTACAAAGACATTTAGATTCTGAAACGACCAATTAATTAAGTCCCTTTTGTCTCAACCAACGAGACAGTAACACATAATAAACCATCGGTACGACATTTTCTCACCCTAAACAGTACCTTATATGCCAGTTTGAAATCGATTCTTTTTTCTGGATAGCTATTTGTTTAAGATAATGGTCCAATTTTGCCTTGATCGATCTAGGAAATGATTGTAAATTGATCATACTGATGTTATTTTACTCACTGTTTATTTATCAACTAACGTGTTTTGTACAATGGGTGATTTGATATAATAAAGACAGAATTTATAATACTCATTAAAATGTCAATGCTTCCTGTTGGAAACCAGTCATATAGTATATTTTTTATAAAGTACGGAAGAAGACTAAGTTTTTTTAGATCTTTATCGTAGTCCAGATACCCCAACAAATAAATCCTACGCTATTTGATCTCTTACAGTTGTTATTTACATACCACATAATTGCTTTCTGGATTCAATTTCGCTGCAATTTGAAGCATTCAGAGCTCTTTTGTCTGAAATTTTAACAAAGTGAATGTCATTTCATATAAACAAGATCCTATTCTGGCTTTGGCCGAAGAAACAATCAACATACCTTTAATCAGGAGCGCACTGGCTAACGGAAGTTCTGAAGTACAAAAAACATCCCATGGCGTTTGCATATCTCGTTGGTACGTTACGCTGATGAATGTTCACAGCTGTGTACGGACTTAATTAACAGCGGTGTGTTCCTGACACTAAAACTGCTCCAACAGATTCACACGAAAGAAAAACTGAAATAGACATTTCATAAGTTTAACGGCCATTCATCACGAATTGATTGACTGATACGATTTGTCTGTGTTGAAAATCGTTTTTCGCGGTTTTAGATCTTTAAATACGGGGATAGTTTTCTGTTCTGTTAATTTATCAGTTGTGTCCTATTGCTGATTGTGACCTGTTGACTGTGTGTGGATTCACAATGTCGGTGATGCAGAAGGCGCTGACCCTGACGACTAACCATATCTCCGTTGTTAGAAGTATTCCTAAATTAATTATTATAATTATTTGCTGTTTCATTGCCTTTCCTTTTTACATCTGCCTTTGAATTGCATATGCTCTTTAAAATTCATTCAGCAGCTTAGCTAAATAATATATCTTCATTGAAGAATCTAGGGATGTGGCATGATAAGCGATGAGACAACTACCAACAAATGTCTGAATGAAGCGGATATAAGCACCTATAGGTCACTATACGGCATTGAACAATGAAAGTCCAATATCGTATAGTTGGTTATAAAGGCTACAAAATGACAAAACGTGAAACAAACCAAACACAAAAAACAACGCTCTGATTTATGACAAAACAATCAACGAAAAAAAAAATATGAACGACATGATAAACTAAGGAAGAAACATGATTTTGTTTAAACCAATAAATAGAACGGGGTTTGCATGTATATCTGTTTTTGGGTAGCAGATCGTACCTTTTTGTATGCACTTCACACATTAAGGATGTACACTGTAAGTGTATTCTATTTATTTTATTAGAAATACGCATTGGAAACGCTATAGACCTTTATTGCATTACAATTTAGTTTACATGTTTATTTTATGTAGAAATATATAATTAAATCACTTTCAATAAAATTGAAAAAAATATACATCCTTTCCTTTATCCATTCAACAAAACATGCAGGGAATTCGTAACCTGCACATTTTGTGGGCACATATACTATAATTCCAAATGGAAAATTATCTCGTTCCATTTTGGGAAGACCGCCAGCTTGTTTTATTGTGATTACTGAGTTCTATGTAGATGCAAATTTAATGTTTGAAATCGCTTCATCCATATGTCGTGAAATCGCGACCCTGCTTTTGCGATCGATTGTACTAAGATTGAAAAGTTAAATTGATGAAGTGTGCTACTATCTGCAAAATCATTCAGAATGAATTAGAAACGTGTAACTGCTTTTAAAATGTTAAACTCTTAGAAGTGTTTTCAATATTTAACTATTACTATTTAGTTGAATATTAAGGTTGTGATAAATAAACAACTAAATGATGTTTCGCGAAACTTGAAAGCAAATGTATCCATTCAATTCCTTAACATCACGGCTTTATCTTTATGGCAAAACCAGCTAGAAAACCGTAGCCTGCATTTTTCGTACGCCCGTAGACTAGAAGTCCAAACGGTATATCATTTTGTTGCTTAATTTCGTGAAGACCGACACCTAGTTCTATGGCGATGACATGGATGTAGAATCCAAAGTTATCGTTGAAGTTCCTTTATAATTAGATATCACCTCATTATCTAAACGTAATCTAGCCTTCGCGTACGATTGTATAATGACAGTAATGTAAAACTTTTGAGGTGGACTTCTTTCTCTAAAATCGTTCACAATTGGAAAGTTGTAACTGCTTATGTTGAATACTTGGAAGAGTGAATGCATCAAATCTAGAAGATGCACAATTACAGTAAAGTTGCACTTGGACTTGAGCAGATGATTTAACATATAAAGGTTATATTTTTTATATTCCTTGAATCTACTACGTGTGATATCTTTGTAATTTACTGAACTGTTGTTGTATATACGTACAAGGGTTTACTCTTGTGCAAATATTCTAAAATTGCACTGTGAATCATACAACTTGGGAACGATGAGATCGCCTCCCAATTTGTCATTTGGAAAGATCATCTCCTCCATGTAATTTCC